AGAACCATGGAGGCTATATATATAGCATGGAGGTCCCTAGGACGACTGTGGCTTATAATAAATTTCGTTTTTACTCAATTACTGAGCAAGCCTCAATGAAACATCTCACTATTAAGATAAGAATACATACTGTATCAAGCTGATAATAGAAAAATAAATTAATTTTAAACAATAAAAAAAAAGAAAAGAAAAATTTGAAATATTAAACAAACAAACATTTTACTAAAGTAAAAAAAAAAAAAAGGGAGAACTAGGGACTCATCATTCCTCTCCACAGTCTATTCTTTCCCTTGTTTTCTATATTTTAAATTTTTTGTTGGTGGATTCTGCTGGAGTTTATAGGTGGATTCTGCTGGAGGATCCAATGCAGATAAGCACTGGAGGGCTCCTGTTGCAAATCACCCTCTGGAGCGATGGAAGGATCTTTCTACTAGCACGTGGAGGAGACCTGATCTAGTGTTGGTGTGGCCCCGGGGTTCTGTTTATGTCTTTCCTCAGGACAATGAAGTTCCTCTTTGGATTCCTGAGCACTGAACGTGCCCTGTGACTGCTGCTGAAGCCCAACATGACAGAGACCTAATGGGTCTTCATGAAAAAATCTACCCTTCTGATGCCAATGGAGAATGAGAGCCCAATATGGCCAGCTTTGGTAAGCATTAATGTAAGCCTAGGAACTGTAGCCATGAGACTGGATTCTCCAGAAGAGCTGCCAGCTAAAGTCGTGCTGGGATCAAGAAAAATGGGCTTTGGCGGTTTGTGTTACTGGAGTTGTATCCATGCCAGTGGATGTCCACACACTCGAGAAGAGAATTTGACATTGCTGCTGCCACTGTTGCTGTTATAGCAATGGCGGCCACCGCTGCTACTGTTTCTGGGATTACCATTTCATAATTGCTTACTACAGCTAGCACAGTGGAGACAAAAGTAGCTACCACAGTTAGTTAATCTTCCATCTTATTGGGCATGATAAATTTAATTCAGTAGTTATATACATCTCGATTGGCTTTGAAAATTATAAATTTATAAACTCAAGTTCCAGTTGCTTTTGGGATACTATCTTACAAGGACTCCAACATACAGTACGGCTCGTTAAGGAAGGGAATGGCTCAGTTGCCTTTAGCCTACTGGCTATGGGTGAGATAGGACCTCTGTTGGTCTTTTCTGTGTTGAACACACAGATTGCAAGCCCAGTGCCACTTTGAGATCTTTGGCAGCAGTTAACTCTGCAGCTCACACACAATTGAGCCTGTATGATAATGAGTATTCAGAGACGGGCAATGCCTGGGGAGGCACTCACCAACCTAAGACAGAGCATCTGTGTGGCCTGGGCAGGCGTCTCCATGACAGGTAAGGTGACCTGCTGACATCCCATGCAACCCAAGCCAGAAGCTCATTTTTTAATAAAAGGGGGACCTGTAGGTCCCTGGCCCCTGTTTTGGGTAACTGTTGCCTTGCTTGTGGACCTTGACCTTGATATCCTCCCTATGCTAATTCCCTGCCGGGTTCCACCATCCTGAATGCTTAAGGGAAGTTCCTTGTCTGTGTATCCTAAATAATGGGTGTTAACAGCTTAGATGCAAGATTGTAAAACATCAGTAGCGAACTTCTGCCCTCCGGGGTTCTCCCATTGTGCAGTAAGCCTGTATTTAAGACTTCCTCCCTCCTTCAATAAATGACATTCGGCATTTAAATATATATATAAGAATGAATACTGTGAATGTAACCTATGAGTACGACAAATGTGATTAATATCATGAGTGTAATTAATGAATATCATGAGTGTAATTTAAAAAATAAAAATTAAAAAAAGAAATATTACAAAAGAATACATAAAAGAAAAAACAAGGAAAGAAAAATACAAAAACATAAAAATAAAAATAATGCCTAAGGAAAGAATCCAAGAAAATATAAAGGAATTCCAAACCCAGTTTAAGGTTTTAGTGGGACCATAACATGGAGAAAACTCAGAAGCCAAGGAAGAAATGAAAAAGACAAGGTGAATCTTTTTCATAGAGTGTTATCTAATTAGTAATATGCATAAATGAGAAATTTCTGTTACAGGAAGAAAATACAGCGACTGAGACAGGCAACTAGGAATGGAAGTTCCCAGGTGCTCCTACCGTCTGTCTAAGATAGAGTTCTAGATATGCAACAAGATGAATATATGGGAGTTTTGTTACAAAAAGAAAAAAAAATTAGCTTCTCAAGATGAAGACAGAGAATATTTTTATTAGCAGCCTGCAGTTAAGTATCTGAGACTAGTGGGATCAGTCACAAATTCAATGTGAGTTGAACATAACAGAGCTAAAAACAAACAAACCTTAAGGCAGTCAGTAATACAGCACAATGAAGACTAGAGTTGGGGCCAAATGCACGTGAGAGGTAAAATGCTCCATGTGACAGACACACTAAGTTAATGAAACAGTGTTCTTCAGTCGGCTAGAAGGTACACACACATCAGCTCCTTGCCCCCATCAGCAACACCCTGCCTGACTCCAGATGACTCCAGTGCTATTGTGCTGGGCACATCTTGAGCATAACTAGTGCTGTGTGTGTGTGTGTGTGTGTGTGTGTGTGTGTGTGTGTGTGTGTGTGTGTGTTTCACAGCTGAGGATGAAATTCAGTACTTAACACAAGCTAGGCTAGGTGTTCTACCACCAAACTACATCCCAATCCACAGAATTGAAGAGACAGTCCATACACTGAAATACAGTCAGAAAGGAGCAAAGGCCGTGGGAAGAAGCCCAGCAACAATGCCATGAAAGAAGGACCTGGGAGCGAGGGAGAAAAGAAGGCAGAAAATGCTGCAGAAAATGCTGAAGGATGAAACCTTTGAACAGACTCATTCACCGACACCTCTAATTCCTCAACGCGTCCCTTTTGTACTCTAGCACCCATCATGTCTGCTCATTTCTTTACACAGCTACCTGCTCACCGACTGCAAAGCATGCGAGGGCCAGGAGTGGGTCTCATCTATCAACCCTAACACTAGGGCAGCGCCTGGCATAAAGTAGGTGCTTTAACTACTGTTCACTGAATAAACTGCAGCTATATCATGGTTCTCTATGCCAATGTCCTGATTAGGATTCTCAACTAGCCTCATCAGATGCCTTTGAACAAGTTCTCTAATTACTTCTCCTTGGGTTCTTCATCTCTAAAATGAGGATTAGGATGGAATTATACTACCATAATATAGGAGTTGATGGATCAAACGAGGTAAACCATATAAAGTGCTCAGAGGAGCACCTGCAGAGCAGAAGTGTGAGACAGTCTTTGCTTTCCTTTTCTGCTGTCATCTGTATGTCCATTTCCAAAAGCCTAGCTTTTCCTCATCAGCTACAGTCCGGGGAGGGGTCCCAGGCCTAAGGAACTCTCTGAAACACTGAGAGAAGGACTAAGGGCCAGTCTTGTGAGGTTATGAGTACTGTGTTCCTCATGTCTTCAGTGCTTTTGCCTAAAACCATTTTTCCCTTCTCTTATTCATCTGTCAGGACTCAGGATTCTCCAGAAACATTTCAGTGAAGATCGCACACCAGCTTGCATGGTTGCAGCACATTTGAAAAGTCTGTTTATATATGCTGTCTTCACTAATTCAGTAGCTCAAAGGACATGACTTTACGTCTAATCTTTAAAACTAGTATAATGTCGGCGCATAACAAACTCGTGAATATTTACAAAATGGATGTTTGCTGGCCAAGTGCAAAAACAAGCTTTAGTGGTCATTCAGAAATATGAAGACTACATAAGTGATCTTTGGATAGCAGAAACGTTAGTGATGACCACCCTGATCAATGTGTGTGTCCTTTATCACGTGAGTACTTCATGGTACCCACATCTATCTAGTATCCAGTGAAAGAGAAACCACCACTGGTCTCCCTGCTAGGGACAGAATCAGCGCACACACTGATTATGATAACGTTGTTGAAGAATTATTGACTGAATACAAACTATAATCCAGCTCTTTCATTATTTTGATAACTTCTCTTACATGTTTAAAAGACCATTACAGCACAGGAGACAATGTTCCTAATGTCCCTAATAACAGGTTCTGATATATAATATTACATATCTACTTAAAAATCACTGGAGTACCTACTACACACCAAGCATCATGACAACGACAACACAAATAAATACACACACACACACACATTTTTCAAACAATTCAAAAGCAGTGGATCCGAGAGTGTTTACAAACAAGCGCAGTGAACTAAGGACTGCACCCTCCAACACGCTACAGTTTCTCTGAAGCCTCCCAAGCGGCTGTACCTTGTGCTGTGTGGAGGCTGAGGAAAGGGAGCAGTGCTTGTTTACCTGTCCTCATGGCTCCCAGTGCGAACATCTTTCATGGCAGCAAATCCACAAGGCACTCGAGCATACTTGTTCAAATTCTCAATAAGTGTTTTTCCTACTTCAAGGTAGTAAGGGTCTCCTGTAGCCTATTAAAAGGAGAATATAGACATAACACATGCTGCCACACACCCATTCACTTCTCCAGGAATCCCTGAGTGCCGACCAGGTGCCAGGCCTTGTGCTGGGCACAGGAATACATGCTACCCAGGACATAAATTTGAAAATACACTACGGCTTTGATCACAGAATTCCTTAAACAATTGAAACCATAGACCTCAGCCTTTAAGTTACATTTCTGAGTGCTCAAAGAGCTCCCCGACTGAAGGGAGGCGGCTGCTTTAGGACGCGGATCCATAAACAAAGCCTCCCTTTAGAGAAATCGTCACAGAAGTGGTTGTTTTGGTCTGGTTTTTTGTTCGTCACCCTCTTCCTTACAGCAGAGGTGTTCACAGTGTTCAGGAGGGACCTTACTTATAGCACAGACAGGATCTCAATTTCCCGTGTCTGCTGCTTGGAGCTGCAGCCTCTATCTAGATCTTCAGAAGCACTTTTGAAAAGGCATCAGCTTATAGCAAGTCTTTCATCTTTCTATAATTTCATGGGCTAAATAAGTACAAATAATGATATATCCAACCATCATAACAGTAAATACTAATGTTTATTACAAAAAAGCAAGAGAGCTAACACAAAGTAGGGGAAAGCCAAGAATGGTAAGTTGTCTTACTTTATATAAGAAGTAGGTACTTTCTGCAAACTCTGGCCTTAGAGGGTGCTGAGCCCAATGGACCCTGAAATCTGTAGTAAATGCCTGTAGAGAACAACATATAAGAAAGCAACAAAATGTGACTGAGAATTACACAAGCAGTTCTAGAATATAAAGCAATATATATAAGAGGTAAAATAATTAACATGAGTCATGGTAAATTTTCATTCACAATATACTGACTATTGTTGCTAAAATACTAACTCATTTTTAGGAAGACTGTTTAACCAAGCTTATGAATTATTGTTATTGTGTGTCCATGTTCATGTGTGTATGTGTTCACATATGTACGTGTGGAGGTCAACCCCGAGTGTTGTTCCTTGGTGCTGTCCACTTTGCCTTTTGAGACAGAGGGTCTCGCTGGCCTGGGGCCTGCTGAGTAAATTAGGGTGCCTGGCCAGGGAGTCTGTCTCCCCAGCTCTGGGATTACAGGGGTATACTAATATGGGGTCTAGGGACTGAACTCGGCCTCAGAGCTGCATAGGCAGCACTTTGCCAAATGAACCAGCTCCCCAGCTCTACATTACCCTTTAAATCACCAACTGGACCAACAATAAAGCCAGAAAAAAACCAGTAATGGCACTAAGTGATGCCAATAAACTCATCCTATAGTGTCTGATAACTGAGTTCTCTGTTTCTTTCCTTTTCTCTCTGAATTAGTATCTCTCGGGTGTTCTCATTTCCTCTTCACTTCTTTAATTGACAATACTGTGTTTATGGACAGTCTACTGTTTTCATGTACCTACGCACAGTGAAATGTTAAATCAAGTCAATATATATTTTATCTAACACCATTTTTTGAGGATATTTAAAATTTACTCTCTTCTATTTATTTCCTATTCTATTTTCATCTATGCATTTTTCTACTCTATGTATTTTCAAGTATGTATATTTTATTGTAGCCTGTTTACTTTTATAATAATGTCAAATCCTCAGTAAAATAAATCAAGGAATTACTTAAAATTAAAATTTGTCTATTTAAAATTTAATCAATAACAGCCAAGAATATTCTTCTTAAATTTTGTATTTGAAGTGAATGGGTGTTTTGCCTATGTGTACGTCTGTGTTGAATCCCCTGGCACTAGAGTTAAAGATGGCTGTGAATGGTCATGTGGTGCTGGGAATGAAACCTAGGTCCTCTGGAAAAGCAGCCAGTGTATTAAGCATTGAGCCATCTCTTCAGTTCCAACAGGTTTTTTTCTTTAAAAAAAAAAGAAAAGAAAAGAAAAAAAAAACTTCATTTGTGATCAGTGTATCTAGTTAAAACCTCATGTGACTCAACATGAACATAAGTTGTTTATAATGTACAGCCTTGCACTTGAAAGTTAATAAAACTACACTTTGCAGAGCTAACGCCTTAGGAAACACCTGTGTTAACGAAAAGCTTAGGTACTGCACCGAGAACAGAAAGAAGAAAGCGATGAACATGTTACAAAATTTGTAAAGGTGTATTAAAGCATGCTATCAGTATCTTTTCAAGTCAGTGTAGCAAAGACATCTATTATGAATGTAATATTGTTTTAAAAGAAAAGTAATTTTCAGTCAGTATGAAGACATTCTCAAAATTTTTAGGATGAGTGTATGATAACCAAAATTATATCTAATGTACATAACTTTCATCAAATAAGCTTCCGATTATAAATGATAACAAGATCTCCCTAGATGGTGTGCATCGTAAGTTAAAATGAGGGCCAGCAGGATGGCTCAGCATGTCAGGAGGCTTGCCATGCAGGCTGACCACCTGAGTTCAATCCCTGGAACTCACATAAAAGGAGAAAAGAGACCACACAAATGTAGTCCTCTGATCTCCACATGGGCACTGTGGTATACACACACTCCCCCGCCACCTGCTGTGCGCACACACATTCGCACACAATCGCAAGAAAGTCACAGCTGTTCTGAAAGTCAGAATGAGACAGATTAGGGCTGGGAACACAGGTCAGTAGCAGAGCACTTCCTGGCCTACACAAGGGCCTCCATTTGTTCCCCAGGGATGCACAACTGTCTAAAAGAAGCCAAACCACAAGGGGTGGTGGTGACGAATACTACAATGGCCGGAGTTGAAACAGGCTGAGAAACAGTAAGCTTGGACTTTTATAGCAGTATCATCGTTATCCTAAACTAGACCTCTCAATACAAAAAGAAAAGCAAGAAGATACAATATATATAATAAAAAATCAATCTAAAGGAGTAGCCACATCTAAGGACAACACTTTCTATCTTTAAATTAGAAATTATATACATATATATATATGATATAGCTAGATATATAAAAAATATGTGTGTGTAAAGGAGAATTTCAAATATTATTTGCTTACCTCTGGTAGAAAATTGTGTTTTTTAATCACCTGGTATAACATTTCATGAGTTTCAATAGCAGGTCTAATATCACCCTTTAAAACCTAGATGTCAACAACAAAATCACTTAGTAAAGCATGAGCCAATTTCATCTATAACCATCACATTACAAGTTAGTACAACCTTGAAATGATAACTATCATTTGATTTTAGAGATCACAAATACACTTAATTAAAACAATTTTATCCTATTATTAAGAAAATGGGTTTACCTGCAAACCTGGAAAAAAGGCGAGCAAAGAATCCATCCAGGTCCGAGCATTCAGCATGGGTTTGTGGATATGCACATCAAGTAGGAGAGGTGGCTGGCTGATATACCTCATTATGGCGTCGTAATGCTGAAAGATGATAGCAAAATGTTCATGGAAGTAGATGCAAAAAAAAAAATACTATATGGCACAGTAAAGAAAATAAATCTGAATATATACAGATATGTAAATTCCCTATATGTCAATTGATTATGTAAATATTTAGATGGAAAGAAATTATATATACTGCTATAGATTTTCTCAGTCAGATGCAGAAGTATGAGTTTAGTTCAGTGGAAGAACATTTGTCTAGAATGCCCAAGGTTTCAAACCTAGGGCATGTGCACATACCATACATGGGTGCTTACACACACACACACACACAGAGAGAGAGAGAGAGAGAGAGAGAGAGAGAGAGAGAGAGAGATATCGACCACAAAATTCATACAAATATCTAAGATGCTGAACGAATTTAAAGGAAGCGACTAGGTGCAGCGGCATGTGCCCACAATGCCAGCACTGAGGCTGAGGTAGGAGGAAAGAGTTCAAAGGTGTCCTAGCTACATACAAGATCCTCTATCTTTAGAAGGCCAAATATTAGAGACAACAATTAATAAGAGACCTTCTGCAGCCAGGCAGATCCCTCATTCAGTAAAGTGCTTGTTGCAAGGAATGAGAGCCTGAGTTCGGATCCCCAGGCCCACAGACAAGCCAGGTGCAACAGCACTCTTCTCCAATCCCAGTGCTCAGGAGGTAGAGACAGAAGACCCCCCACCCCGGGGCTTGCCGGCCTGGCAGTCTAGCCAAACGGGGGGGCTCTAGGTCTGGTGAAGAGAGTCCATCTCAATAAAGTAAGGCATACAGCAACTGAAGACAACATTCAACATCAGCTTCTGGCCTCCACACACATGCACACACACGTGTGCACATACGAACACATACACATAGTAAAAGCGGGGGTAGGGTCTTCTGAGAAACAGATCTGAGCACCTCTATCATTAGGCTAGGATGGTTAGGATGCCTGTGTGGCCCAGTGATGCTCTCTGGTCCCCTCAGAACAAAACTACAGCTTCCATCTTACAGAGTTTAGGGTTTTGTTTTGTTTTGTTTTGTTTTCTTTTATCTAGGGAATGTGGTCCCTTCTCGGCTAACACAATATTCTGGAACTCATAACTATCCAAACAAATGCACACAATCATCATTACCACTCTCATGGGCTGCTAGCTCTGCTTTTTCTGTCCTTGGAATCTCCCTTTTCCTTCATTTACCTGCTTTTCTTACGTATGTCTGAGCTTTGAAAAGAGGACAAGTTGTATTAATTAATTAATGACCCAACGAAGAGTTACCTGTCCTAACTCATCTCTAAAAAGGAGAAAATCTTACTGTCAGCAAATATATAGACAGTCTTCTTTTTAGAATTCAAAAATTTACTAGGACTTAAAATCTTTTATTTACTTTTACTTTATGTGCATGTGAGTACCTATAAGCATATTTGTGTATCACACGCCCATCTGGTGCCTAGAAAGGCCAGAAGACATCGGATCCCCTGGAACTGGAGTTAGGGGGGTTGTGAGCTGCCATGTGGGTGCTGGGAACTGAACCCAGGTCCTCTGCAAAAGCAGCCAGTGCTCTTAACCACTAAGACATCTCTCCAGCCCCAATTTAACAGGACTTGAAATAAGCTGTTTTGCTGGCTCATCTGGCATTTAATCGCTATTACTGACAATCTGTCATCTGTTTAGCTATGTTCTAATCACTCTGTACATAAAAACTCCTGCAGTCTCCCCACACACCTGGGAATAAAAGCACTTGTATTCCCATTTTGTAGATGAGAAAAAGGCAACCAGAGATGCTCACCCATCCCAAAGTGACACAACCGGTATGCTGTCCGAATGGATGTAAACTAAGGTCTCTTTCCTACTTTTAACTACAGTATCAAAACATATCAATATGTAATGTGGGTGAACTGATGGGTGGGCAAAAAACAAAAACAAAAACAAACCCCAAAAAGGTAAATTGCTGAATAGAATACAGTGACAGCTAATGAGTTTACTACATTAATCTTAGCTTGCTTCAAATCACAAAAGCAACCCAAGGATGAGGCCGACCATCTCCTTTCCCAAAGCTTCTATCTGTGGTTCTTGTGGTCCAGTCGTAGGACACCCACCTTGGAAATGAATACACACTACCCAAACCTGCTTGTCTGGTATGATCAAAGACGAGGTCAAACTTCCAACCTTTCAAATAGAATTGGAACCCCAAAGTGAAAGCTAGTTCTATCTCATTCCAGTAATTGTCTTCTGTGTCCAAAACAAGAATAGGTAAAACCCAAATGTACCCGCATCATACACTGCCAGATTCACCAATTTCCTGATAAAAGATGAAAAGGAAACTTTTTTGGAGTGTACTTCACTTACCTATTGCCCCGTCCAACATCAGAGTGTTGATAAAACACTACGACACATTTAAAGACAGACTTTTAAGAACGTCATTTAGGTTGTTAAGTTTTCACCAATCTTGGACTCAAATGAAATTAGCTACCCAATTAATAGAAAAATAAATCAACTTACTGTATTAAATCTTTCCAGAAAACTGTCATCTCCAAGCAAGACATAGGCTTTCAACAGATATTCATAATATGAATCAATCCCTGCTCCAACTCCACTATCTAGAGGAAACACATATAAATGTGGTCCTTTATTAAACATGTCTGAAAGTTAATATGGTACAAATGAGGACACCAGTAAAGCAGAGTGTAAGTTACATTGTCAACATGAAACCTGAACATAAAAACTGTACACCTATAGAAATATAACCCTGTCTGCTATACAGATAACGGCTAGTTCCCTTGCTGCAAATAGTTTGTTTTTAAAAGTTACTATATAAAACTGGTTATAATTTTTTCTTATTTAGAAAAATTATATCAGCATGTCTAAGCTATATGGAGAACAAGTTAACAGTGATTTAGCCAACACAAATTGAAAATCTCTAAACAAAAATAAAAAATAGAAATCAAGTTTTAGCAATTAAAAGCAACCATTTTAAATTTAAAAGACCCAAAAACTGCTGAAAGGAAAAAAGAAAACTTATACCTAAAATTGTAACAACATTTTTCTAAGCTTTTCTTTGTCTTTGACATTTATAATCTTTCAGAAAGAAAAAGAACAGATCACATATTAGGACACAGAAATAAAAACAATGTCACATTTTTAACAGGATGTTTGGAAACAAAGAGTTGTCTTTAAAAATTTGATGGAAAGTAATTTAAAGCACGAATCATGCACAGCTACGCCATCACTCCAATACTGAGACAATGAACTATTAGGGAAAGACAGCTTCGGTACCCAGGGAAAACTCCTGCAAATAGTTTGGAATGAACCATATCATCTCTGTTATCTGCACAACACTGGTTTCAAGACTCCTAGAGATGCCAGAATCCAAAGATGCCCAAGTACCACTTTAATGGTGTAAACTAGCACAGCCTCATGTGCTTTAAGCCATCTCCAAATTCATTTTAATACAGAGCACAATGTACAAGCTATATATGTGCTTATTATAGTGTATTGTTTAGAGACAATAAGTCTATATATGTTTAGAATGAATGCAACCCCCACCCCACCCCAAACCTTCTCCATGCGCAGGTGATTGAGGAAGCAGAACCCATACATACAGAGACTAGTTAATTAAGAGACAATCTATATAAGTGATATGCAAAGTACAAGCAAGCAAATTCCTCAATGAAGTTTGCTGTTACTGAAACAGTGAGAGAGGGAGCAAAAGAGAGGAGAGGTGGGGAAGGAGAACAAGACCGAGACTCAAACAGTCAGACAGAAATACTGATGCAGTAATTTAACAGAAAAGGGTCGGAGAGGAGCAAACAAAGGGATGAGAGAGCACACTGAGTTTGTTTTTAGAGACATAGGTATCAATCAAAAACAAAAGGATGAAAAAAACCAGAAAAGATGCAACACACTGAAATAACATAAATAGTATAAACTACATGCATAAAACTATCCACAGATTAAAATATGAAAACCAATCCAATCCATCTAGGTATGTGCAGATATAAGCACCTGCAGGAAGCGAGAGTAGGGGGATGGGGGAGGTGTATCTGCAAGCCCCGTGAGATAAGTGCAGACAGCGGACTGGACTGAGAGAGAGGGTCACTACCCAGTGTGACCGAGGGCTCAGTGCACCTGCCATACCCAATACAATATATATAAAGCAAAAATGAATGATAGAAAAGCATTGCTAGAAACCATCTACTTTAATTCTTGACAGGTCAAGCAAACAGAAAATTAGTAGGGTCTCTACATTATTGATAATTGAGTAGAAATGTAAATTAGCCCAACCACTATGAAACTCAGTATGGATTTAAAAATTTTAAAGATTCCATTCTTCTGACCAGAAGAAAATATCTTTCCCTTAATAGGACCCCAATACCACCGTTAACATTCTCCTCTCTAAAGAGGTAACCCTAAAATCATTTAGTAGACAACTGAAATTGGGGAGCCCATTTCCACCATGAAAACTCAGAGATCCAGTTCCAAAGCTGTTCACAGAAGGGATGAGTGTCTGGACTGGAGTTCCAGCCCACCTTGTATACAGTCTACAGATAGAGCTCCCTTCTGACACTTCCCAGCCAGAAATACAAGGGTGTAACTGGAAATGCTGCCTTGGGTTGGTTTCCTGTCCTGAGCTGCCTGGGCACAGTCTGCTCCCTTAACAGTTAATCCAGTTGGATTGGTCATTCACCCAGGGAAGGCACTATCCCTTAGGAAGGCTAATTTGCCTTAAGTCATGCTAAAGAGATGGGAGGGATAATTATCCCTCTAATGAGATATTGTGCCCTTCCCAGAATTCCTGCCTTCTGTACAGCGCCACAGCCTTGGAGCTGTGTGAGTGTGTCTGCTTTTCTGAGTTCCTTTTCTTCTGTCTCTTTTAAGCATGCTTTCCCTAACACTTTGGACTTCATTCTGTCTCCAAAGCTCCCCTCCCCGCCATGTAGCTGACCTCCATGCTGGCTTAACTTAAATGGCACAGCTTTTTCTCATTCCCTTTCTCATTCAAAAATCTTCCTCCTCCAGGCAGGTGCTCAGATTTATAGCTCGCCTGTCCTGGGGTGTGGTGATATTTTCTTTGTGCTCTAACAAATAAAACTTGCCTGAAGATCAGAGGGCAAAGCCAGTCACTAGTTAACCATAGAGGCCAGGCAGTGGTGGCACACACCTTTAATCCCAGCACTTGAGATCTCATGCCTTTGCTCCCAGTACTTAGGAGGCACACTCTTTTAATCCCTGCACTAGAGAGGTTGAGACAGGAAGTGTTATGGCTAGGTGGAGAAAAGGAATATAAGGCGAGAGGAGACAGGGGAGCTCCTCTCCCTTCCAGGTTGAGGATCTGGTAGAGGTAAGAACTCTAGGGGCTGGCTGCTCTGCTTCTCCGATCTTTCAGCTTTCACCCTAATATCTGACTATGGGTTTTTATTATTAAGACCAATTAGGGTTTGTGCAATACGGGGTTTTTCTTTTAAAAACTCTAATTAAATTGTCCACAAGTAAAAGAAAGAAAGAGAAAGGGGGGGAAGAAAGGAAGGAGACAGAGAGAAAAGAAAGAAAGAAGGAAGGAAGGAGAGATAGAGGAAGAAAGCAAGCCTTAAAATTACATTTATTTTAGCTGTCAGATTAATAATTATATTTGTATTTATTTAAATGCAGGTAATTACTTTTTTTGTACACAAACAAGATAAGCCTGGGTATATCAACCACTCAGGGCAGGTCTCAGATGTTCAGGAGTAGCTGATCAACAAATAATGGACTACACAGCTTTTGTGTACTCTGATCTGGCCACAGTTTTCCTTCTTTCTTTCTTTTTGAGTGCTGTTGTATTTTGTTTTCTAGCTTTTGTTCTAGTCTTGGACTTTTGCTTTTTGAGAAAGAACTTAAAGTTGGGTGGGTAGGAAGAAGAGAGGAGCTGGAAGAACTTGGGGGAGGGGAAGAGTATGATTAAAATATATTAAAATTTAAAAATTGTTTCTAATATTAAAAAAGAAAACACATCTAGACAAAAAAAATGATCATTCAAGCCCAACAGTGCAAAGATACACATTACAAATGTATAACACAGGAATAACAATGGCATATTATATGTGGGTGCACACTTCCATAACTGCTTTCTGCCACCTACCTGTCTTTGGGTTCTAGGAGATCAACAATGCAGATTCTGCTAGCTCTTGCTACAGCCTACTGATGTAGCATTTCTATGCTAGCAATCATTTACAGCTCTCAGGAGGGAGTTTATGAGACACCTCTCTGCTATCATAGCCTCCAGGAGCTCTCCAGGCATGGGACCCTGGCACCACTCTATAAAATATTACAGTGTGTATATTCTGTATACATTTTGTTATTAATTATTCTTCACAATAAAAAAGTCATCTGAATGAGGTAACCAGACTTGAAAACATCAAATGGAAATATGGCTTGTGTTCACTTAGATATGGATGTTAGCTGCCCAGTCTTCCACAGCAGGCTGCAATCATATAACCACAGTGGCTGAGCACAGAGTAAGGGACTGGGGGAAGAACTGGATCACCCCAGTAAGGGGAAACGGAATAGGTAGTTATGGAGGAGGGGGAGGAGCAGGAGGCTGAAATGGGAGGACCAACTGGGGAGGGGGACAGAAGAGGGGAAGACAGGAAAGAACAAAGAAAGAAAATGTGTATAATTGTAAGTATAAATATTACATTTATTTTAATTGTCATAGATTGATAATTACATAATTTTATTTATTTAAATACAGGTAACTCTTTTTCATTTATACACAAGATAAGTCTTTTGGAAAATAGGAACATAAAAGGTAACCTCATTAGGAACATTTCAGTGTACGTCCATCCTTCAGTGCTTGTCTTAAAGGGGAGTTTTAAAACATAAAATATTCTTTATGATACCCTACATTATCCACTCATAACAATGTTATATTTCTTTCCCTAATTCTAACTATTTTTAAAAACTTAATGCCACAACACTTAGAATATAATTTTCCCAGCTATTATGTTATTATCACTTAATTCTGTTTTCCAGTATTGGCAATAAATATATGATGGTATCTTGGAAACCAATTTCCTGTGGTTCATACTATCTCCTCAGGCTAGAATCCAGGAGTAAAGTCACTAATCGGGAGAACTAACAGCACTAGCAGTGACATTTCACAGTAAGGACGCACTGCCTGCAGCCAGGGCTGGCTGTCCTCAGGACCCCAGTTAACTCATGGAACCCTCACAGTAACTCTGAAGCAGTACTAATCCTCATCTTTAGACATGGAGCAGACACAAACACAGGCTACACACACGGAGAGAGAGAGCAGACTGTGATAACATTATTAAATATATCCACTAACTGTGAAGTGAAATGAAATACTCTGATCCCTAGTCCTCAGAGAAATCAACTCCGGGGTCTTGTCTCTCTACACCGGCTAACGCTACATGACTAAGGGGTGAAACAATGCTCGCCTGGTGGTCTTCACAAACGCTGGATTCCCAACCATCCCAAGGATGTGACGGTCTGGGTTGTAAAGCCCAGCTCGCATACCTTTGCGCACCCAGTCTCCAGTGTGGATATTGATAGTCACGCCTACTAAATTGCTACTTCGTTGTCTTTTTTCCCAGAGAAAATCAAGAGCTTTTCTTGCATATTCCTATAATTAAAAAACAAAAGCATACTTGAAGAACTTTGTCTTTGCTGTGGATATCGCTCCATATAAATAAAACACTGGCCAGTGACCAGGCAGGAAGTATAGGCGGGACAAGGAGAGAGGAGAATTGAGGGAACAGGAAGAAGGAGGGAGAGACACTGCCAGCCACCGCCAGGACAAGCAGCATGTAAAGACACCAGTAAGCCACAAGCCATGTAGCAAGGTATAGATGTATAGAAATGGGTTAATTTAAGATATAAGAACAGTTAGCAAGAAGCCTGCCACGGCCATACAGTTTATAAGTAATATAAGCGTCTGAGTGATTATTTTATACGTGGACTGTGGGACTGAGGGGCTTGGTAGAACCTGGAGAGAAGCCCTCTAGCAACAGTCTCTGGCAAAGGGGGAAACTACAAACCTAAGATCCATAGGATCTTTTAAGAACAAAGCAAAATTCTTAGGACAACCACTTATAAATTTCCTTAAAATCCTGCCTTGGCTCTTTTCAGGCACTTCATATTAAGAGATTTCACCAGAGAATAACCATGGCCATTTCCTCTTGCAGCATGGCTCACATCCATACACAGATTATTGTATCGACTGACATAATTAAATGCACTTGTTAAAACAATTACCACCTAAGTGCAAAGTGGAAATCTCCTAAAGTATTCTCATTTTGCAAACTTGAAGAGAATTCACAACTGATATGCTATCTTTGAAAGTCATTTCAGATATTTTTTTAAGTGACACATAATTTTATCAGTGAAAAATTAGCAAATAAACTAGGCTACTGAGGACTTATTTGTATATTAATGCACATATACATATATACATACATATATATATATATATAAAATTATAACAGTATGACCACTTCTTTAATTTATTTTTACCCACTGGATATTAAATTGAAATTATTTCTTACAAAATTCTTAGCTTTGAGCTGGGAGGCAGTGGCGCACACCTTAATTCCAGCACTCAGGAGGCAGAGCCAGGCAGATCTCTGTGAGTTCGAGGTCAGCCTGGGCTACAGAGTGAGTTCCAGGAAAGGCGCAAAGCTACACAGAGAACCCTGTCTCGAAAAACAAACAAAAAAACAAAAAACAAAACAAAACAAAAAACAAAATTCTTAGCTTTAGATAAAAAGATGTTATAAATGGAATAGCAAATGATAACTACTGGTACAATTCTAAATTAATTTTAGGGCATGAACTTATTTAGTAATGCAAGCAAAAAAAATCATTAAACCTAATTTGTTACTTTGCAGGTTTGGCAATAGAGTGCAAAATCATTTACATTCTTGATGCAAATGATGAATGGTAATTATATTGAAACAAAGTAGACCACAACTATAATTCAATGGTGAATTTTCAAATCTGTAAAGTGTGATGCTGACTGTATTTCCCTACTTTTATTTTACAGCTTAAAAAAAGAAAACAGGAACAGTAAAATTACAGATTTAATCAAAGCTTAAAATTGAATTATAGGACACTAATACAAGAACTCTGATTTCTTTGTATATTGGTCTCCATATTCTAGGGTCAGCAAAATTTTTTCTGACAAGGGACAGATAGAAAATAGTTCAGGCATTGTGGGTCCTACTGTCACTGGTCACAATTTCTCATCAAGTAGAGAGGGAGACAGAAGTAAGTCACTGAGCACAGCTGTGGTTTCACATCAACCTTTAGACGGCAACAGACCGCAGCTCCAAACCTGCGACAGTGATGCTCTGTCAGTGGCATCCTAGAAGGTTTTTAGATCATGATTTTTTTCAATAGATTTATTCAGAAAAACAAAACAGGCCGACGGAAAGAGTAAAGACATGGACTCTAAATCCAACTCCATGCGTTCACCCACAGACTACAGACTTATCTCATTGAGAATCATTTTTACCTATAAATGCATCAATATTAAAACATATGTACAAGTACCTGTACTGTTTAATGAAGGGAAACTACTAGACAATAAGGTATTTTGAAATTTAAGTTTAAAACATTAACCAGTCACACCTGATAAATCTGTCCTCAAGGCATATGAATGTATCATCCATTGAGACCCAGACAAGCACAGCACAAGATCTTCTTGCTGGCTTGGTTCACATCCTTATCCAGTATCTGTAATGGTGCCTGCTATGTGTTCCCTACTTCTGCTCTGTCCATGTGACCATCTTATGACTTTAAAAAAAAAATCACCTAGTCATGTGTCTAACAAAGTGGGCACCTAAGTAACTTTGGCATTCCAATGATAATTATAGCACCATATATAGTTACATCAGACTTTTTTAATGTAAGACAAAGATAGACCCTAATAAAATATGTGGGGTGATATAAATCTTTTGAATAATGGATAACTTTTTCCTTAAAGTAAGTACTTGATCAAGTAATCTTGTTCAAGCTTATATACAAAAATTTCACAATGGGTTTAAGTGATCTGTGAAGGTTTCAGAGATACAACCAACCATTTTGAAGTCTAACAAATAAAACACAGATGCATGGACATCTGTGCTACAAAGGAGTCATCAAATTTACCTAATGTAGCTAAACACTGCTCTAAGGAGAAAGCTAAAATTGTCCTTGATGGTCTATGAACAAAAAGCAAACTTGTATTTAATACAGCTGTTTCACAATGACTTCCATGCCTGTAACACTGAAATTTGATTACAGGATATCAAAGTAACAGTAATCCTACAATGGCGAGTCCAAACAGAAACTTAGCTCTTTCCAAACCCCAGATGAAAAGCCTTGAAAATCACACCTCAAATATTGTCGCTCCTGTGAACCGACTCAGTGCAGCGAACTCCAGGATCAAGGTCCCCGCACAGGCTGTACAGGTGTCTGTCTCAGTTCCTGTCCGAGCTTCCGGCTTTCTGATGCCAAACTTTAAATTAATCTAAATACAATAGGAAAGTTATCATGAGCAACGACCAAGAGACAAGTGAGCTTCTGATCCATCACTGTCAGAAGACTATTAGATTATGAAAAGAAGTCATGAAGTACATGAACACTGAACTCAATCTGAGTATCTCTGTAGCTTTCAAATGAACTTCTAGGAAAACATTTTCTGAGCATATAGGATTTATGAGGTAAATAAGTTCTCATTTTTTCCTGATGATGTAATAATGCAATATTATTGTAACAATAAATCATTAAAATGGTAGATCAACCTTAGGAGAAATTAAGTTTGAGAATTTATGAAACTAGTACAATGTTAAGTAGTTCATAGAGAAAAACTTGATTGTAATGGTATATATTTAGAAGAGATTAAAACTTTGTTTTATAGGTTTTTATAAATTAATTTATTCTTTGGCAATTTGATACATGTATATAATACATTCTGCTCACACTCATTATTCCTCCCTGATTCTCCTTCCCCCCATAAAGTCCTCTTCCCACTATCACCCTTTTTTTTTATTACATTCATTATTTATCGTCTATGGAGGCATGTGCATGCCACATCATGCATGTGGCAGTCACAAGACAACTTGGGAGAGTCAGCTCTTCTCCTTCTGCCAAGTACACCCTGGGGATCAAACTCAGATAGTCAGGCTTAACAGCAGGAGCCTTTATGTGTCCTGAATCATCTCAAGAATCCACATGTCCTTTTATTTTTGTTCTGTGACTCACTGAGTTTAACTAGGGCTGCCCACATGAGTGTGAACTATTCAGCGGAGCAGGGGACTCCCCTGTGACTACATCACTGAGGACACTGACTCCCCACCTCCAGTTCCTGATCAATATTTGTTATCTGATGTAGAGTAGATATCATAATAAGATACAAAGAAGTAGACCTTTACCTTCAAGGAGCTTAAAAGCCAGACAGAATAAAAAGGAAATAGAGAATTAATAATAATGGAGTCACAAATAAGTACAAAAAAAAAAATCCACGAACTGATAAAAATAATGCTAAAACCAAGGAGATAAACTATCACTGGGTTGGGAGTAGCTGCAAATTAAGAAAGGTGGCTGATCAGGTCATGGACCCTAAAGGAGAACCTATGACTGCCACTTTGCTAAATCAGTGTAAGTCCCAGCTGCATTCTAAATGCTTATGATTCTTCTGAGCAAATGGAGACCATGACAGGAGCCACAACTGGTCAAACCACAGTCTGACCGTGGGGTGCCCAGTCCCAGTGGATACATCTACAACACAAGCCTACACTGAAGAAGGTTCAGGGAACATCACGGAAGAAGGGCTGGAAAGACTGTAAGAGCCAAAGGACAAGGGTGTCTGCTGTGAGATATGACAGGGAAGCTACACCATGAAATCTCAAAAATACAGCTGACTAAACAAGACCCACGCATCTGCTGACATTCCAACATAGATGGGAAAACTCTCCCAAGGCCAGATCCCTGGATGAAGAACTCTAGATTAACACCTGCTGATGGCAGTTATTCAACCCAAGTGGTCAGCCCTAATCACACACACATAGGAACAACACGAACTGGACTCAACAGGCTCTCTCTGTATGTGAGAATAGTTTAAGAGCTCATGAATTTGAGAGGGCGTAGAGGGCCATGAGAGGAGTTGACGAGGGCAGAAGGAGAGGTAGAATGATGTAAAGAGTACTCGTGTGAAATTCTCAAAAAAATTAAATTAAGAGAAAGATGATTAGCCAGCAGTGGTGGCGCACGCCTTTAATCCCAGCACTCTGAAGGCAGAGGCAGGCGGATCTCTGTGAGTGCAAGGCCAGCCTGGTCTACAAAGTGAGTTCCAGGACAACCAGCACAACACAGAGAAACCCTATCTCAGGAAGAAAAAAAAAGAAAAAGAAAAAGATGATTAAATTCAAGTCATAGTCAAACAATGAGATTTATCTGAGAATTAGCTTTGAAGATTTAAGAAATGTTATTACAAAGTATGAATAAGGTTTATATATGAGTTTTTAATATGACCATGACCACCACTGCACTCAGGAACTCAAAGCAGCTGTAGTTACCCGTACAAGACTGGGCCTGTCAACATTTCATCATGGGGATGTTGACAGGTCCACACTCCAATAAATAACCTCCTACCCATGCTCATGGAAGCTACCTTAATTAAACCTAGTGCCCCCCCACATACACACCATACACATGCGCACACACACACACACACACACACACACACACACACACACACACATACACATGCATACACATACACACCATACATATGCATATACCATACATAAACCACACACACACACAATCATGAAAATAGGGGAAGTTTCACTTGTTGAGAAAAACAAATGTTTCAGCAGGAGTGGGGGGAGAGAAGGAAATAGGATGAAAGTGACAAAATTTCACTATATACAAGTATGAAACTGTAAAAAAAAATTGTTAAGACCATTACAGGCTGGAATGGAGCTGGGAGACAGCACTTGTCTAGCATGCAGGAGGCCACCCAGAGAGAAAAGGAGGGAAAGACCAATAACTCGTACATAGCATTTCTATCTAGCAAATTCTTCTGGCTTAGAGCCAGTAATGCAGACTCTACCGAGTATGCATGATATCCAAGAGAGATGATTACACCATTTCCTTGAGCAAAAGTAACCGACTAATAAGTGTGTATAAGGACACTCTTTGACACATGTTTCATGTTACAGGAAATACAAAAAACACAAGAGGGGCTTGGGAGCTAGCTCTCTTGGTAAAGTGCTTACAGAGTTCGCTCCTGTTGTTCACGGAAAAGGCTGGGCTTGGCAGTGTGCCAGTGAGGCGGAAACGGGGTTCCTAGAGCTGACGGGCCAGCTGGTCTAGCTCAATCAGGAGCTTTAGGTTCATCAAGAGACTGTGTGGGGGCCACTGGGGAAGACAGCCAGTGTTCACCTCTGTCATGCACACACATGAACAACACACACACAGACACAAACATGTACATATTTCTATACAGAGAGAGAGAAAGAGAGAGAGAGAGAGAGAGAGAGAGAGAGAGAGAGAGAGAGAGAGAGAGATGCTAGACTCCTCAAACTCCAAAACCCCTATTTAAAACAAAACTAGGGCTAGAGAGATGGTTAAGAGCTTGTATTGCTCTTGCAGGAATTCCGAGCAGCCACACCAGGGGGATCACAACCCCCTGTAACCCTAGCTCAATTGATCCAATACCTTTTTCTGGTGTCTATGAATACTTGCACTCATGCACACATCCACAGGCAGACAGACAGACACAGACACACACTCACACACACTCACAATTAAAAATAGGGGGCTGGTGAGATGGAGCACTGGCTGCTCTTCCAGAGGACCCAAGTTCAGCTCCCAGCACCCACATGGTGGCTCTCAGCTGTCTGAAATTCTAGTTTCAGGGGATCTGATGCCCTCTTCTGGGCGGCAGCCACGTAGTACACATATCCACATACAGACAAAATACCCACACATAAAATTATTTTTAAAAAATTAATTAATTTATTTCATTAATTAAATTAAATGAAAAGAAAACAAAAACTAACCATATTTACTACAGTAAATTCAATGTATACATATACATTGGTATAGGAGTGTGGTTTGAATGAGAATATCCCCATAGGTTCACATTAGAATACTTGGTCCCCAGTTGCAGGCCCTATCTGGGAAGGATTAGGAGGTGTGGCCTTGTTGGAGGAGGCATGTCACAGGGCTTTAAACAGTATTGCATCTAACTTCAGTAAACTACGGGAAAACGGCCAATTAACAATGCAATTATTCTAGTAAACAAAGAAGTTCTCATTTACAATGACTGCATTTCCCCCTCACAATACTAAGAAAAGAATGGTACGATACAGTGTGGGTGTCACGTGCTCTGTGACATTGAGGGAGTAAAAAAGTATCTCTGTGAAAGCAGTTTGGTAATAAGTACTCAGTCTTAAAAAGCATTTCATACTTCTTTCTTCTAGGAATTCATTCAAAAGAAAAAAATTAAAAATGTATAAAAGGAAGTGTGTAAGACTGTTCCCAAGAGAGCTATTTAAAATACTAAACCTGGGGCCCAAGCGAGGGCAGTCAGTGCTGCAGCATAAGCGCAAGGACCGTATTTTGGGGGTAGCAGCACATTCCTGTAACCCCTGTACTGGTGGGACCCAAACAGGGGATTCCTGAAGTTCATGCTAGCCTATGCAAACTAATGAGCTCCAGGATCAGTGAGACACTGTCTCCAAAAAAATAAAGACTGAAGAAAGATCACCAGCATCTACCTCAGGTCTCTACGCCCACACCCCCACCCCAACACACACACACACATACACACACACACACTCAATCATATGCATACGGGCATATGCTCACACTAACATACACACAACGTGCATACAGAAGAAAAAAAGGAAAAATAGCCAAGCTGGAAATTTAAATAATAAAGGGTTTAATTCTAGTCTTTCATTAAAGAAAGAGTGTGAGTCATGATATACTAACGTGGTCGGGAAATCAACGGATATGACATCTGCTTTGAAAAGCACCTACCTGTGTCATGCTGCTGAACACCTAACAATGACTTCCTAAGTACAAAAAAATGAGCCTAGCTTGCCTTAAACTCTCAGAGAAATTATGCCAAGCAGTAGAGATGGTAGGCCTGAAAAAAAAAGCAATTAAAAAAGTCCCTATCGGTTCATGAGAGCACTATCTACTGTTTTGGGTGGAAAAGTCATTTCACTGGGGTATGGGAGTGTGGTTGTTTGAATGAGAACAGCCCCATAGGCTCACGTTTGAATACTTGGTCCCCAGTTGGAGACCCTATGTGGGAAGGATTAGGAGGTGTGGACGTGTTGGAGGAGGCATGTCACAGGGCTGAGCTCTGAAGAGTCCAGAGCCTCCTGCCATCCCAGTGTGCTCTCTGCTGTCTGCCTGCAGTGCGGGATGGACCTGGGCTCTGGCTGTCCCTGCTGCCATGCCTTCCCTCAGACACACGGACCGTGACCCTTTGAAACCGTAAGCACTGAACTCTTTCTTTATGTTACCCTGGCCAGCAATAGCAAAGTAACTAAGGACTGTGAGAGGACACTAGACAGTCTACTGCCACACTGGAGATTTCTCAATGTTAAGGGACAATCAGTGCAGCAGAGAGACTGCACGAGTTTTGAAAGTAATTCAATAAACTATGCTTTAGTAATACTAAAGTAATAAGCCTGAGACAAGAATAACCACACTAAGACACTGCAGTCCCCAAGTGAAATGAAAGTGACTTGAACATCAAAGCAGCAAACGGAAGGGAAGGTGCAGACCTCGTGTCTGACTTGGACACACAGGACAGAAATGGTGTCACTACAGAATGAGGTGGTCAGGAGGAAGCTCACTCCGTCCTCAGCAGTCTCCTCCCCTCTGCTTTAAAGATAAACTTTCCTGGGAGGACAGAACAATCGCAAAGCTCCCTCGACCGACCATTGCCAGGTCTCCTTAGAACCAGCAACGAAAGAACCCCAGGGCCAGTGTCCCACACTGCAGCCTCCTCCCTCAGTCTGCCCCACTACAGGCTCTAAGGGTCACACGGAACCCCAGGGCCAGTGACCCACACTGCAGCCTCCTCCCTCAGTCTGCCCCACTACAGGATGTAAGGGTCACGCGGGACCCCAGGGCCAGTGACCCACACTGCAGCCTCCTCCCTCAGTCTGCCCCACTACAGGATGTAAGGGTCACACCCAGACACATCCCTCCTTCTGGAGCTTCTCTTATGATTTATCACTCTGCCCACCGCATGACAACCGCTTCTGAACGTATGAATGCTTTCTCCTCGGCAGCTCCACTTCCTCCTCAGCCGCTCCGGGAGAGTAACACCTTCCTACTCTCACAGCTACTTCAGCACCAACAGCTCCGGCCCACACTGCAGTCTGTCTCCTCCTTCTGCAGCAGAATCCAGTCTGACACACCGAGGCTGAGGAAAGCTTACGCTACTCTAATTTCCATGTCGCTCAAATCTAAGGTAGCCACCACATCACTATAACTTGGCTGTCAGCTCTGACGCATCTTTTTCCAGGCTCATGAGGGAGAGGAACACCTCAGATCACAAGAACTCATCCTGCAAACAATAAGGAGGTGTCAACAAAGTCGTGCTCGTTCACAGGGACTTACTCGGGGATAAGGAAGGCCGCTGGTGGTGTTGAAAGCTGGTAAGAGTTTGTAGCCCAGCTGCTTTGCCATTTGGAGAAGTTCATCATTGTACCACTGCATGTATTCCCCTTTTTCCTTCAGCATGATCGCCAGTGAGTGTCCGCCTAAAAGACCCCTAGGATCAGAGACAAAACATTACCTGAAATTGAATTAAACATTTATTTACAATTTATTTACAAGCTATACACGAGAGGGTATGAGCATTTACCCCCCACAATTTGCAAACATAAGGAAAGGCTACAGAATAATTTCATTCTTTTTCACTGGCTACTCATTTTATAACAAATTATTATAATCACATAGCCAACATATTAAAAATAACAACAACAACAAAAAAAACCATCAGGGACTGGAAAGAAGGCCCAGTGGGTAAAGGCACTGGCTGCCAAGGCTGCAGGTCAGAGCTTGAACTCCAAAACACACTCAGTAGAAGTAGAGAACTGACTCTTTCCTACAAGTTGACCTACATGTCCTTCCCCCATATATACAACAAATAAATAAATGCAAAAATACACAATCTATTGTAAAGTACTTGACATTCTTAAGTATCTTAAATTTTCTTAAACCAGGGATCATCCTAGATATCACATGTATTCTAACAAATGAGCTAAGTGTTTTTAAAATAAATTTAAACTTTTAATTTATCACCATGAATCTTTGACTCTTATTATAACATTTAAAAATTAAAAACATCTTTTACCTCATTAAAGGATTAATAATCTCTAAGAGTTATCAAGGACTTCTTACATTTAATTGAAGAGTAACTGACTTTGACAAGAAAATGGGACAGAGAATTACAAAAACTATTAAACATAAACTTACCTAACGTTGTGATGAATTAATTTTATAAACTCACACTTTTAGCCCTCAAGGGTATTTCTGACTGTCTGAGGAGCAAGCCTGTAAACTGAGTCTCATCTGGCTTCTCTATAGAGGCTCCTAGCTAATGCTGGCCGACTGTGGAGGGTCCTGGAAACCTCTGATGTAACTAACAGAAAAGTCGCTCGCTCAACCTTTTCATTTTCACTCAGGGGTCACCTGTAGTCTGGGTCTCTCTCCAAGACTGCTGTGTGTGTTACAGCATAATCCAAGGTTATCCCCATGGCTGTTTCAAAACACCCCAACTTTCATCTTCTTCGCAGGGGAGGGTGTTGAGACAGGGCCTCCCCCTAGCTTAGGCTGGCATGGGACTTACTGTGTGGCCAGGCTGCTCTTAAGACTACTTACTCCTACCCCATCTTTCCAGGATCACAAGCCTCAGCCACCACGTCTGGACTCCAAATTTTATCCTCCTTTTTTAGAAATTGTAACTTTTTGGGTGTTTCGGCTGCATGACTGTCTGTCCACACATGCATGCAGTGTCCTCAAAAGTTAGAAGAAGGCATCAGATCCTCTGGGACTACACTTCCAGTGGTAGTGAGTGGTCATGTGGGAGCTGGGAAATGCACTCGGGTCTTCTGCAAGAGCAGCAGGTGCTCTTAACTGTGGAGCCATCTCTCCAGCCCCCAGATTTTATCTTTTAAGCATAAGAAACTTCTCTACTGCCTTCAGGAAATAATCAGCCTGAAGCTCTTCTACATTAACACTGCAGCTTTGTGCTGCAGACTTACCCAAGAACTCTGATGTTTGTCTCAAAGACTGATACAACCACATCATTATCTAAATTAACATCTCGTAAGACTTTTCTCACGGCATCTTCAAATTCCTTAGTTTTGTTTAAAACCTAAGAGAAGAAAAGAATGAGATAAAAGTCTTTCCTACCACGCCAAGAAAAAAAAAACTATACTCAGAATGAGACACCAAATCAATGTTAGCATACTTTAAGACTCAGAAAAATGATGCATACAAAATAGTATAACCCTTAAGTATATTATAAAAAAAAATGTGATAATGTCTAAAACTGAAAAGTTAAGTGCAGACAACAGAGCATCTTTGCACACTGATGTACATTTAGGGCTTTAAAAGACCCATCAAAGGAATTCAGAGTAGACTCAATACAGGCTGAACATCTCTAAGCCCAAAATCTGAAATCCAAAATGCATCTATCTAATAATATTTTGTTGGTACCACTAAAAATGTTACAGATTTCAAGTATTTTAAGTATTCAAGTATTTTGGATTGCTGGATTAGGAATGCCCAGCCTGTAAAGCCTAGGACATGTTCCAAAATGCAAACTTGTAGAGCCAAGTGATTCAGATAAAGATTCTTTGTCATACTCCGATGACAGACAGGACTCATAGAGAACCTCTCCTTTTGCTCCCTCTAGCCCTTCCCCTCCAGTACTGTACATGTCTGCATACATGCATGCACTGTCCATGACCGACAGCTAGAGCCACGCGAGTGAGGTGCACTCTACTGGGATCTGGCTCCTCAGTCAGAACAAAGTAGACAGCCATCCTGCTCCTCAAGCACCATCTTAGAAACTAAGCTCTCTTGGGCTGTGAGATGCCTCAGTGGGTAAAGGCACCCGCTGCCAACCCTGGGTACCTGAATTTAATCCCTGAGACCGGATGACAGAAAGAGAGAACCAACTCCTGCAAGTTGTCCCACATACACACACAGAATAAACAAATACATAAACATGTAAAAGAAGAAATGCCTACTCCAGAAGAAATCACAGTCTTCACCCAACTAAGCCTAAGCCTTCACCCTACGCCACCCTTCCCCCCTTGGTGGCAAAACAGGCAGGGTAATATTATGGCAATATTATAGTGTAAAACAGGGCCTGGTTGAGTTCTGGCTCTTTCCCTTTGGTCCCTTGTGATTCAAGTCAAGTTCCTTCAACTCTGAGCATATTCCTTCATCTATAAAGGAAGGAGGACCGACTCTGTAGCACTGTTTGCTCGAATGTGATCACGTGTGTCAAGTACTTTATTTAACCAGAGTGTCTGACTTAGTGCTGATTGTCAAGTGTTTAATGTCATTACTGTCACAATCATGCAAATCTATACTCGTGACTCAACTGAAACCTCAGTGAGTTCTTGGAATGAACTCTATGAAAAGGGGTCACTGTCATTACAAAGGCGGCTTTCTTCTCTCCATCTAGGGACATGATTAAATGTTATTTAGAGACTAGATGAGTAAAAGAAGTTTGCCTTGGACTGTTCAATCTTTTTGTTTGACAAGACTTTGCAGTACTTTTTAAAATTTGATCTGATCCTAAGTATGAGAGATTCCCTAAGGGTGTATGTGTATGTATGTGTGTGTGTGTGTGTGTGTGTGTGTGTGTGTGTGTGTGCGTGTGTGAGTGTGTGTCTAAAATTCAAGTAAGATCTAGGGCAGCCTGAAATCAAAGTCAGTGGGAACCTGACTCTGAACTGACCAGTTTCTCTCCCCAGTCTCCCAGTGCACAGAAGCCCTACAGCAGCAAATGCCGAGGACATGCCCTCCCATCCCTTGGGAAGGAGACACAACTGCTCTCCCCACTGGCCATCCCTTTTTCTTATCGCCTTGTTACTCTCTGCTGTCTCCTCTTGAGAACTCTTCTAATTCACAGCCACATGTCCCTCCTGAGGGGCCCAGGAGCTTCTCCAAACACACCACAGGAGCACCAATGCCAAACTCCCAAAAAGTGGCTATCGTTGCCCGTGATCAGCTACAGAATGAATTCTACCAGACTCACCATTTTATCTGTCTCTTTCTCTCCTACCAAGTAACAAAAGGGCCTCTCCTTCCCTCCATTGCTTCTAATCTGTTTCGATAACTATTGCCTGTTCAGATTGCAGACTTAAAGGGGCCCGATTCTATGACAATAGGTCGAAACTAGTATTTTGAACAATATGCATTTAAAAATCAACTACAGCAAGAGAAACTGACTTAACATATTATGTTACAAACAAAATAAAAATGGTTGGGTTCGGGCTGGAGAGATGGCTCAGAGGTTAAAAGCACTGACTGCTCTTCCAGAGGTCCTGAGTTCAATTCCTGGCACCCATATGGTGGTTCACAGCCATCTATAATGAGATCTGGTGCCCTCTTCTGGCTTGCAAGGTTACATGGAGGCAGAATGTTGTATACATAATAAATAAATAAATCTTTAAAAAAAAAAAAAGGTTGGGTTCTATAAACTAATCACTATAAGTGATATGCTATGCTAGTATTTTCAAATTGCTAAATTATAATTTTTTTAAAAACCCACCATTTAAAAGGCAAATTTAATTAGAAATACTAATACATGCATTGATTAAAAAAACATGCAAAATAATATCCCCACTCTAAATGCAGGAAAACCTTTGAAAGTTCTCTATGTTTCTCCAATTCTGCTTAAAATCAAAAGAAAATACTTAAGATAATGAATAAAATTCAAAATGAATTTGCTCATTTCCAATGCTATGGTGGTCTGTAGCTACTTTGGTTATTGCCACTTGAAAAGACTGAAATGAAATCTTTTATGAAGTGGTATTTCATTGCTGGTGCATGCCTGGGTCTGTGTGTAGGCACACTTCTGCCACAGTGTCCACGTCCAGGGCAGAGGACAATCTGCATAAGTCGTTCCCCTTCTACCAGGTGGGGCCTGGTTGTCAGGTGTTCCCGCTCGGTGAGAAACACATCTCCTGGGCATCTCACCAGCCCTCAAAAATCTGTACTTCTAACAAGATCCCAAAGAACGCTGTTATTACTAGTCTAGGCTTCTTACCTTGAGAACTAATGCCAAACTCTTTAAAAAGATACAACCTGAAAAATATTACCTTCATAATAATCTGTGTTTACCCAATAAGAGAAGCTGACAGATTTCTAAATGTAGGAACATTATGCAGCCTAGAACCACCTTAGCTCCTTTATGTTTGAGAACAATTTATAAAACAGTAACAGTAACTAAAGCCCACAGTCATGAAAACAAATTAAGAACGTAACAGAGAACTGAGAGGGACTATGCTATCGGAAGGAAAAAAGCCAGAACGAGGAAGAAATGCCAGCGCTCCTCCAGAGCCCTCACTGCTCCTCACCTCCCCAGCGCTCCTCCAGAGCCGTCACTCACTGCTCCTCACTTCCCCAGCGCTCCTCCAGAGCCCTCACTCACTGCTCCTCACCTCCCCAGCAGAGCCCTCACTCACTGTTCCTGCTCACCTCCCCAGCGCTCCTCCAGAGTCACTCACTGCTCCTCACCTCCCCATCCCACAGTAGGCCTGTGCCTCACTCAGTTGGTTACACATAAACCGCATCCTTCCGTCTCCTAGGTGACAGCTGCACCTTCCCAGAGACTGTACAGCTCCAGAACATAAGCTTATGTCTGCAAGGATATCTTGTGTATCTTTTCTCTCTCTTCCCTTAGGATATGCAAAAAACCAGGGTCCACTAAATCAGAAATACGATATCTAACAGTATCTTTGTCATGGTTCTCATATAGCATACTACCATGGAATAAGAAAAGCAAAGCATTTTTCCAAATTACCTTCTTTAAAAGCTTCAACCACCTTACTCAAAGGCAGGGCAGACATGTGAGCCAACATCTTGAGAAGTCATTTGAGTATCTCTATTATACTACATGATTGTATTTGACAATAATTTGACATAACTCAGCAATAAAGTTCAAGCTTTATCGAGAAGCAAAGATTTGAACATCTAATTCTTTCTTTCTTTTTTTTTTTTTTTGTTTTTTTGAGACAAGGTTTCTCTGTGTAGTTTTTGGAGCCTGTCCTGGAACTCACTTTGTAGACCAGGCTGGCCTTGAACTCACAGAGATTCACCTGCCTCTGCGTCCCAACGGCTACGATTAAAGGCGTGCGCCACCACCGCCTGGTGAACATCTTAAATTCTTACGGCTTCTATTCTGTACATAGTATGCTGATTGCATTTATATTACTTGAGCGTGGATATCATTAAACTTATAGAATAAGCAATTCCAGGAAAAATGGAACTTACCACAAGAGTATCCAAAGAATCGATCAGTGTTAGGGAAAACCTAGGAAACAAGTGTAACAAGATATATAACACTAGAGCTTGAAATGCTCATCCATGAATGTGTAAGCAGAATGATCTATAGCCTACTGTAGTGTCTAATAAGCAGCTCCTCCATGTATCTACAGTGTCTCGTGATATGTAAGACAACCTAACAATCTGAAACATCCTAGGTATCTGTGAGGATACATAGAAACTTCATTGGCTCCTTTGAAAAGAAACAAAACATTAAAATCCAATGCTAGGGGGCCAATCTCAGCATCATGAATAAATTAGTAATTATCAATCAAAATATATCACATCCATGCATATGCCGTGGTACCTTAAAACATGGTGATGCCCTCAGGTACATTTTAAAGACTACATCAAAGTTAAATAGTTTTTTAATGTCACGCCCAGTTTAATAAGCTAATTTTTCTCAGATATAAGAAATAAGTTACTTTTTTAGAACAGGAAAGAATAAAAGACCTAATAGAACATTGAAGGCAGACTTCTTTTTCTTCCTTTCTAAGGCATTCTTTAAAATCTTGTCCACTGTGCCAGTCAGAGGACTCGGCAGGTAAAAGTGCTTCAATCCCCAGGACCCACAGGGTCAACGGAGAGAAGTGACCCCTGCAAACTGCCCTCTGACCTCCCACCTGCACACCACGGCACATATGTAAACACGTACACACAATGAACAAATAAATGAAAAAAAGAATGTAAAGTTGGCAAAGCCTCTCCCAGTGGGACCTGGCTACTCTGAAATGCCATGCTATGCCTTATGCTCATACTCACTTTCCCAAGGCATCGTCTACATCACCCCGGCTCGGCTCCTGGCCTCTGACGCGGCCTCTACAGGTTAAAGGCATGAGTTCGTCAGCTGGGTAAGCATGTTCCTGCAGAAAAACCTTAATAAGTCACTAAAGAAAGTGAGAGAAGGCAGATACCATTTAGAGAATAGGATTGGTACTTAACAGGTGGACTAAACACACAATTTGTAGACAATTTAAAGTGTTATTCATGCTTGAAAAAACACATACTAAAATTTAATTTAAAAACTGATAATCTGACTTCCCTCCTTGAATCTCACTCTCTAGAAGTTACCACCATTAAGACCAGCCTTCAGCCTTTCAGATTTATTCATGTATTAATACAGTCAAATACATGCACAAGTATCATTTAAAACATTTCTTTTGAGACAGAGTCTCACTATATAGCCTAGGCTGGCCCATTACCCACAATTCTTCTGCCTTAGCCTTCTGAGAACTGGTATTATAAGTACATACTGCCATGCCCAGACAAGAGCTGGGCCTTGAACAAAACTCAGATCAGTTTAATGGATCTTACGGAACACAGTCTTTTCTCCTGGTAATGAAGAGTAATAGGGATAATATTCCAGTTTCTCATACATATATGTACATGTACTGTTTTGTGTGCCAAGCCGGGGCCTGAGGCATATGAGGAAGCAAGCACTCTACCAGTGACTGACCTACATCCAGAAACTGTATTGCCATCTATACTCACTGGTCTCAATTTTGTTTTCTATTTTACTCAAAACACAAGGTACCCCTGCGGTGGTCTGAATGGGAATGGCCCCCTAGGCTCATATATTTGAACGTGTGGTCCCCAGTTAGTGAAACTGTTTGGGAAGGATTAGGAGGTGTGACCTTGTTGGAGGAGGTGTGTCACTGGGGTGTGCTTTGTGTCTCAAAAGCTCTCATCAGGCTTGGTCTGTCTCTGCTGCTGTCTGCATGAAACTTTCAGAAAACATGTGAATTCTCAGCTACTGCTCAAGCCTGTGACTGCCTGCCTGCCGGCCACCAGACTCTCCGCCGTCATAATAACCCTCTGAAACTGTAAGCAAGCCCCAATTAAATGCTTCCTTTTCTAAGCTGTCTTGACCATGGTATTTCATCATGGCCATACAACAGGAACCAAGATAACCTCACCACTCCAGCATGTTGGAATGCTTCAGAAATACTTTAACAACAAAGTGAAATTATAACTCATACTTATTCAGTACTTATTTTCTACCCTCTATTCTATACATCAAAAAGTTTAATTATTTCAACAATCCTCTGAAGGAGATTCAATTGTCTTCATTTCACAGGTAAAATTAGGACCCAGGAAATCAAGTAAACCTAGACTGAGCAGCTAACATGATGAATTTGGAAGTGAAAGCCTGGTCACCTGACTTAGGAGCCCATACCCATATAACCAGGACTAACTCCTCAAAAGGTTGCATAGTATGGATACACTTATTTATTCTGGTATGGATGAACATGACGAATGATCTAAAACATCTGCAGAAATATTTACCTTTCATACATGTGTTATCTCTATGGATAACTTAACAATAGATATGAGTCAAGGAGATATTGAATTTTTTGACAGTTACTACCAAACAGGGTATCATTTACAATTTACTTTACTCTTAACATTTGAGATGATTGATGCTTTATATTTTGTCAATCTCCTGGGTTAAAAAAAAAAGTCTCAAGCTCCAGCACTAGTAAGAACACAGGCCTTCTTACATTAGCCACTCTGGAAAAAGGCCTGTTTATATTGCTTATTGTTCTAATGGCTACTTCTACTGTCAAAAGAGACTCATTAAGTACGGTCTGTCATATATAAGTAAATATCTTTTATCCTTTCTTTGTTTAGTTTTTAATTCCTATTTGTAGTGTTTTCATTATAAATTTTAAGTATTAGGTAAATCTATTCATTTCTTCCTTCATGGTTTCTGGTTTTCAGGAATGCTGCACCAGGCTGCTCTGGGCCCTAGAAACATCACACACACACACTCACACACACACACACACACTCACACACACACTCACACACACACACACTTACACACACACACACACAC